AGTGATCCCATCAATGATAAGAGTGCATAACCTTCCTTGGCAAGAGACTTGTGTATGAAATATATTAGTGCGACGCCAATCCTTTTCGTCTCCTACTCTTTCTTATTATTTGGGGTTGTTTCCTCCTCATTCCTTCTCTTTTTCCTTCACTTCTTTCTACTCCTCCTTCTCTTTCCCTTCTCCTCCCTCCTCCCTTCTCCTTTTTCCTCCTCCTACTCATTTTTTGGGTTATTTCCTCCTTCTGCCTCTCCTTCCTTGTGTTGCTCCTCCTCCTCCTCCTCCTCCATTCTTCTTCTCCTCCTTATACTCCCTCAATCTTTCGAGTGACTTTTCTTCTCCTCTTTTTCTTCTTTTTCTTCTCCTTATTCCTCTACTTTGCCTTCTCCTTCTTCCCCATTTCCTTCTTTGATTTTGCTTTAGTTCTTGTTTCTCACAATTCATCGATGTTTCTCAGAGGCACCATAAATTTGATCTTTCGAGTGACTACTCTTCTCTTCAACTTCTTCCCATGCTTTTCCGCCTCTCTCTTCTTCCTTTTGTTCCTTTTCCTCTTCCTCTTCCTCCTTATCCTTCACTTTCTCCTCTTCCTCATTCTTCTTCTCCTCCTCTTTCTCCTCACTCTTTCTTCCTCCCGATTTTCCTCCCTTTCCTTCTCTCTCCTCCCATGCTCCTTCCTCTTCTATTTCTCCTACTTCTGCATCTCTTCCCACTCCTTTTACTTGTGTAGCTTCTTCTTCTCCTCCTCTTTCATTTTTCTCCTCATTTTCCTCCTCCTCCTCATTCTCCTCATTGACCTCTTCCTCATCAGTTTTTTCCTCTATCTTTCTTTTCCTGATTTTCCTCCTCCCTTTCTTCCCTCCTTTCCCTTTTCTTTCCCCGATTTTGTTTTAGTTTTTGTTCATCACAATTCACTGATATTCCTCAAAGCCGCCGTAAATTTTGGAAAAAATTCCATTTTGCCCCTTAAAAGATACAAAAATTTTCAGTCTGTTTCTCGAATAATTAATTTTTTCATATTGCCCCTTAAAAAAATAAAAAAATTTCAATGTGCTTCACCATTTTATTTATTTTTTTATTTTTTCCATTTGATCGTCCGTTTATTTTGTGATTCCTTATTGGTTGACTTGTTATAAAACAGATGGACGACCAAACGAAAATAAGACGGTGGATCACATTGTAATGATTTTTATTTCTTTGAGGGGACAATATAGTAAAATTAATCATTCTAGGGCAAACTGAGCATTTTTTATCCTTCAGGGGCAAAATAGGATTGACCCTAAATTTCGAGTGACTTCTCTTCTCTAGTTTTTCTCCTTCTTCCTCAGCTTTTCTTCATCTTCTTCCTTTTCCCTCTCCTTCCTTTTTTCCCTTTTCTTTCTCCTTTTTTCCTTTTTTCCTTCTCCATTGTCCCTTAAAAGAATAAAAATGTTGCAATGTGATCCATCATCTTATTTATTTTTTCTATTTGGTCTTCTGTCTGTCTTGTGATTCCTAATTGGTTGATTTGGTACAAAACAGATGGACGACCAAACAGAAATAAAACGGTAGAGCACATTGTAATATTTTTCTCCTTTCCATTCTTTTCTTCCTTCTCTTTCTTCTCCCTCATTCTTCCTTTCATTTTCCTCCCTCTCCTTCTCATTGTCCTCCTTAGTCTTCTTATCCTCATTTTTTTCCTCACTTCTTCTTCCTTCTGATTTTCCTCCTTTTTTCGTTCTCTTTCCCTTCCATTGCTCTTTCTCCCTCTTTTCTTCTCTTCTATTTCCTCCTCATTTTCTTTCCCTTCTCCTCCTTCTTCCTCTTCCTTCTCCTTGTTTTTCTACTCTTCCTTATTATTTGCGTTGTTTCCTCCTATTCTTTTTCCTTATTCTCCCTCTCCTTCATTTTGTTTCTTCTCCTTCTCCTCTTTCTCCTGCTCTTTCTTTCTTTTCCCCCTTTTCCTTTTATTCCTTCTTTTTCTCATTGCCCTCCTCCTTATCATCATTCTCTTCCACCTCCATCCTTCTTTCTCTCTCATTTTCTCGTTTTCCTCGTTCCTCCTTTCTCTTTTCCTTTTCCTCTCTCCTTTTTCCTTCTACTTTTTTTTTAAGTTCTTTTTTATTATGCCTCTCCTTCACCTTCTTCTTTTTCTACTCCACTTTTGTCTTATTTCTATCATTCTCTTTCTTCGTCCTCTCTACCAATATATGCCCATCGTAAAAGAGTACTTTGTTATATTCACTCATTCTTCTTCCCAATTTTCCTCTCTTTCCTAAACTTTCTCCTCCGATGCTCCTTCTTCCTCTTTTATTTCTATTTCTTTGCATCTCTTCCTACTCCTTTTGCTTTTTGTTTTCGTCTCCTCTTTTTCTCCTCCTCCATTTTTCTCCTATATCTTCTCCTTCTTTTCCTCCTCATTTTCCTTCTCATTGTCCTCCTCAACATCATCATCCTCTTTTTCCTCTATTCTTCTTTCTCTCTTCTCTTCCTTCTCCTCCCTCCTTTTCTTTCCCTTTTCCTCCCTTTCTTTTTCCTCTTTTTTCTTTTAGTATTTCTCATTGTTCCTCTCCTTATTCTTCTTCTTCTACACCTTTTTCTTCCTATTCCTATCATTCTCCATCTTCTTCCTTTCCACCAATGTATGCTCATCGCAAAAAATTACTTTGTAATATTAACTTTGTGTTATTCTTCTTCTTGCTTCTGTTCCTTCTTCTTCCTTCCCATTTCATTCCACGATTCTATTTTTATTTCTGTTCGTCGCAATTCACTAATGTTCCTCAAAGTCGTCATAAATTTTGGAAAAAATTCCATTTTGCCCCCTAAAAGATACAAAAATTCTCAGTTTACCTCATGAATAATTAATTTTCTCACATTGCCCTCTTAAAAAATAAAAATATTGCAATGTGATCCATCGTCTTAATTTTTTTTTTCATTTAGTCGTTTGTCTGTTGTGTGATTCTTGATTGGTTGATTTGGTGCAAAACAGATAGACAATCAAACGAAAATAAGACGGTGGATTACATTACAACATTTTTATTGCTTTGAGGGGTAATATAGAAAAATTAATCATTTTGGGTCGAATTGTGCATTTTTGTATCTTTTAGGGACAAAATAGTATTGGCCCTAAATTTTGATCTTTCGAGTGACTTTTCTTCCTTATTTTTTCCTCAGTTTTTCCTCCTCTCATTCCTTCTCTTCCTTTTCCTTTTCCTTTTTCCCCTTTTCTTACTCCGATTCTATTTTAGTTTCTGTTTCTCGCAATTCACCAATTTTCCTTAGAGTCGTTATAAATTTTAATTTTTCGAGTGACTACTCTTCTTCTTCTTCTTCTTCCCCTTTCCGTTTTCTTCTACCTCCTCTTCCTATTTATCCTTCTCTTTCTCCTCCCTCATTCTTCTTCTCGTTTTCTTCCTCCTCATTGCCCTCCTTATTTTTCTTATTCTCTTCTTTCTCCTCTCAATTTTTCTCCTTTTCGTTATCTTTCCCCTCTCATGCTCCTTCTTCCTCTTGCTTCTTCCCATTTTCTTTCCTTTTTCCTTCTTCATCTTCCTTCTCCTCCTTTTTCTTCTACTCTTTATTATTATTTGGGTTGTTTCTTTCTCATTCTCCCTCTCCTTCTATCTGTTTATTCTCCTCCTTATCTTCCTTCTCTTTTTCCTCCTTCATTCTCCTCCTCCCTCTTTTTCTCTTACTCCTCTTTCCCATTGCCCTTCTCCTTATCATCATTCTCTTTCTCCTCCATCTTTCCTCGCTTATTTCCTCCTTTTATTCTCCGCTTTTTCCATTTGGTTGTTTGTCTGTTTTGTGATTCCTGATTGGTTGATTTGGTATAAAATAGATAGATGACCAAACAAAAATAAGACGATGAACCACATTGCAACATTTTAATTTCTTTGAGGGGGCAATGTAAGAAAATTAATCATTCTCGGGCAAACTGAGCATTTTTGTATTTTTCACTGGCAAAATGGGATTGAATTTTGATCTTTCGTGTGATTTCTCTTCTCTATTTCTTCTCCTTCTACCTTAGCTTTTCCTCCTCTGCTTCGTTTCCCTCTCCTTCTTTCTTCTCCTTTTTTCCTTTTTCCTTATTCGATTCTATTTTTGTTTCTGTTTCTTGCAATTCACCGATGTTCTCAGAGTCGTCATAAATTTTAATCGTTCGAGTGACTACTCTTCTTCTTCTTCCTCCTTCTCTTCCTATTTATCCTTCTCTTTCTCCTCCCTCATTCTTTCTCTTGTTTTCCTCCTCCTCCTTCTCACTATCATTCTCTTTCTCCACACTTCTTCTTCATCCCGATTTTTCTCCTTTTCCTTCTCTTGTTATGGGAAAGTGGATCCCATTTGTTCATTAATTGTATTCTTTCTCCAGCTGTATGGAGAAGAATTTCTGCTGTTATGGGGTTTGAAATCCTTTTAGGAGAATCCCCAATGTGTAGATTTTTTAGGTTGATAAGAAAGTTTAGAGCTCATTCTCTGAGTCATAGTTTGATCAGAGGTGTTTCTATGTTGATCTTTTGGGCTTTGTGGAAGGAGAGATGCAAGTGATAAGTGCCTTGAGATGGCAGGCATTTCTTATAAGGCCTGGGATAGGTGATGACTTTAGAGGAAAGGAGTTACTGCAGGAGTTGAACATTAGGTCTTCTTTTTCCTTTGTCAATAAAGTCAAGTAGATTAAGTGGGAACCTCCTCCTGAAAATATGTTGAAGCTGAATGTTGATGGTGCCTCCAAAGGCAAAACTGGTCTGTCAGGTGGTGGGATGGTGTTGAGGAATCATGAAGAGCATGTGATGTTAGCTGCTGCTTGCTTTTATGGGATGGGCTCAAATATGTCAGCTAAGTGTATGGCTTTGTTAGATGGCTTGCTGTTGATCCTGCAGCATGGTTTGGCAGATTTTCAAATCCTTGTGGAATCTGATTCTCAAACTTTAGTTCAGATGGTGTTGGGTTTAGCTGAGGTCCCATGGAGATTGCAATCTTTTTTGAAGAGGATTAAACAGCTATTTGCCATTTTGAATCTGCAGATAATGGGGTTGCTGATTTCTTAGCTTCCCTTGCAGTTCAGACTGAGAGGAATTCTGAATTCTCTGTCAGTGGTGCTTTGCCACTTGCTGGGAGGTTGATTCTGCAACAGGATCAGAGCAGGTTGCCTACTGTCAGATTAAAGAGAATGATTGCGGTCAAAGACAGGGAGTTGGATGATGTATTTTGGTTTCTAAATTGGGGTCTGTTCAGGGGCAGACGGCTGTATCTGCCAGTTGGTCTGGTGTCCTAGCAGTCCTTGGAGTTTCAGAAGGTGTTGCCGGTGTTTTAATTTGTTGGGGAGTTCTAGAAACAGCAGTTATTGAAGGAGGTACAAAAGTTATACCATCAGAGAGTAAACTATTTACATCCAGTGTTTCTGGTGTGTAATGGTCGACTAGCTGGGCTATGTTGGATAGTTTCAAGGTTTTGATCCTTTTAAAGGATTAAAGCCAACTTTTTGTATGGCTTATTTTGTTGAGGCAGCTGGAGGTGGATGACTTGCTGAGGTATTGGTTGTAAGCAATGGTTTGCTGTGTTGAGAGGAGTTGAGTTGTTTACTGCATTGCTGTGTTTCTGAAGCCTGATGGTGGAGTAGCTACTGATAGCTTTATGGCTTTGAGCTCTTATGATCTGATTCTGCTGTGTTCATTGCTGCACTGCTGTTTTGGGCAGTCAGTATAGGATGAATGTTGGGTCAGTTGCTGAGGTGCCTTCTGTATGCACTGGTCTGCATTGTTTCTGCAAAATTGTTCTAGCTGGGTGATGATGTGCTGTGATTTGATCATGCTGCTAGAGGGTTGAGCTGAGCACAGGTGCAGGAGCAGTATCTGAGCTGCTGTTGCTGACTGCTGCTGGTCTGCTTCTGGAGTTGGTCTGAACTGCAGTGATCAGTCAAAGCAGAAGCTGAAAATAGTTGCTGTACAGGACAGTTTGAGGATAAAAGAATTTTTTCTGTTTTTTTGTACAGTTACTGTTTTTGTTGTTTAACTGTTACTGTTTTGCTTAAACAGTTTCAGTTTTTGCTTCTTGTAATTTTTGGTTTTCATGCAATAAAATTCTCTTTTTCTTAAAAAAAAAGAAAAATTCTTCCTCTTGTTTTCCTCCTCCTCCTTCTCACTATCCTCTTTCTTCTCACTTCTTCTTCATCCCAATTTTCCTTCTTGCCCTTCTCCTTCCCTTCTCATGCTTGTTCTCCCTCTTTCCTTCTCTTTTATTTCCACGCCATTTTCTTTCCTTTCTCCTTCCTTGTCATTCTCCTCCTTTTTCTTCTACTCTTTCTTATTCTGGATTGTTTCCTCCACTTCTTCTTTCCTCATTCTCCCTCTCCTTCATTCTGTTTCTTTCCCTCTTTCTCTTCCTCCTCCTCCTTCATTCTTCTCCCCATTCTTTTCCTCTTACTCCTTCTCTTTCACATTGTCCTCCTAATCATCATTTTCTTTCACCTCCATACTCTTTCTCCCTTCTCCTTCCCCTCACTCTTTCCTCCCAATTTTCCTCCATTTCCTTCTTTTTCTCCTCCCATGCTCCCTTCTTCCTCTTCTATTTCTCTTTCTTCTACATCTCTTCCTACTCCTTTTACTTCTTATTTTTCTCTTTCTATTTCTTCTTCTTCTCCTCCTTCATTCTTCTCCTCCCTCTTTTCCTCATTTTCCTTCTCATTGTCCTCTTCGTCATCATCATCCTCATTCTCTTTCTCCTATATTCTTCTTTCTCTCTCTTTTCTTCCTTCTCCTCCCTCCTTCCTCCTCCTTGAAAAGTCTGCTGTCAAATCCTACGGCTCAACCTTGGACTAGCGGTAGAAACTACCAAGCTGGAGTACAGTAGGGGCAGAGGGAATTTTCGGTGGAGCGGTGAAATGCGTAGAGATCGAAAAGAACACCAGCATCGAAAGCACTTTGGGGCGACACNTGAAAAGTCTGCTGTCAAATCCTACGGCTCAACCTTGGACTAGCGGTAGAAACTATCAAGCTGGAGTACAGTAGGGGCAGAGGGAATTTTCGGTGGAGCCGTGAAATGCGTAGAGATCGAAAAGAACACCAGCATCGAAAGCACTTTGGGGCGACACTGACATTGAGAGATGAAAGCTAGGGGAGCGAATGAGATTAGATACCCTAGTAGTCTTAGCCATAAACGATGGATACTAGGCGTTGTGCGTATTGACCATGTTCTATTCTAAGATATTCCCTTCATTAGCTATACGAAGTTAGACATTGACTGAAAGGAAAGTAGAAAGGACAAGTAGCTCTGATATCACATAGAAGACTGTTTTTTATAGCACCACTAAACCAGTTGCCATTCACTGGCTCCATACTTCTCCATTCTTCTTCCTCATTTTTCTTCTACTCTTTCTTATTGTTCCTCTCCTTCACCTTCTTCTTCTACTCCTTTTTCTTCCTATTCCTATCATTCTCCTCCTTTCATTTGTTCTTTTTCTCCCCCTCCTCCTTCATTCTTCTCTGCCTTATTCTTCCTCTCCTTCCTTCTATTCCCTCCCCTTCACCTCCTTCTTCTCCTTTTCATTCCCCGATTATGTTTTAGTTTCTATTCCTTGTAATTCACTGATGTTTCTCAAAGTCGCCATAAATTTTGGAAAAAATTGCAGTTTACCTTTTCCACATTGCCCCCTAAAAAAAATAAAAATGTTGCGATATGATCCGTTGTCTAATTTTCTTATTTTTTTTTCATTTAATCGTCCGTTTGTTTTGTGATTCCTGATTGATTAATTTGATACAAAACAAATACACGACCAAATAGAAATAAGTCGGTGGGCCACATTACAATATTTTTATTTCTTTAAAGGGGCAATGTAGAAAAACTAATCATTCTGGGGACAAATTGAGATTTTTGTATCTTTCAGGGGCAAAATGGGATTGACCCTAAATTTTGATCTTTCAAGTGACTTCTCTTCTTTAATTCTTCTTTTTCCTCAACTTTTCCTTTTCTTCTTCCTTCTCCCTTTCTTTCCTTCTCCGATTCTATTTTTGTTTCTATTTCTCGCAATTTACTAATGTTCCTCAGAGTCGTCTTAAATTTTAATCTTTCAAGTGACTACTCTTCTCTTCTCCTTCTCTCCTTTTTCTTCTCCTTCCCCTTTCCATTCTCCTCATTCTTTTCCTATTTATCCTTCTATTTCTCCTCCCTTATTCTTCCTCTTGTTTTCCTTCTTCTCCTTCTCATTGTCCTCCTTATTCTTCTTTTCTTTCTCCTCAATTCTTCCTCCTGATTTTTCTACTATTCCTTCTCTTTCCTCTCATTTTTCCTTCTCACTCTTTCCTTCTCTTCTATTTCCTCCTCATTTTTTTATCCCTTTTCCTCCCTTTTCATTCTCCTCCATTTTCTTCTACTTCCTCATTCTCCCTCTTACTTCGTTCTTCTCTCCTCTGTTTTCCTCTTACTCCTCTTTTTCATTGTCCTCCTCCTTATCATCATTCTCTTTCACCTCCAACCTTCTCTTTTCTACTTCCTTATCCTTTCTACTTCTTCTTCTTCCTCCTATTTCTNTACTTCTTCTTCCTCATTCTCCCTCTTACTTCGTTCTTCTCTCCTCTGTTTTCCTCTTACTCCTCTTTTTCATTGTCCTCCTCCTTATCATCATTCTCTTTCACCTCCAACCTTCTCTTTTCTACTTCCTTATCCTTTCTACTTCTTCTTCTTCCTCCTATTTCTTTTTCTTAAACTCTTTCTTATTATTCCTCTTCTTCACCTTCTTTTTTTAATATTCCACTTTCTTATTATTCCTATCATTCTCACTTTTCTTCCTCTCCACCAATGTATGCCCATCGTAAAAGAGTATTTTGTAATATTTACTTAGTGCTATTTTTTTTTCTTCTTTTACTCCATTATCTTCCTCCTCCTCCTCTTTCTCCTTACTCCTTCCTCCCAATTTTCCTCCCTTTCATTTTTTTTCTTCTCCCATGCTCCTTTTTCCTCTTCTGCATCTCTTCCTACTTCTTTTTCTTCTCCTTCTCTTCTCCTCTTTTTCCTCCTTTTTTTCCTTCTCATTGTCCTCCTCCTCTTCCCATCATCATCATCATTCTCTTTCTCTTTCTCTTCTATCCTTCTTTGTCTCTCTTTTCTTCCTTCTCCTCCCTCCTTTTTCCTCCTCCTTTTCCTCCCTCCTTTTTCCTCTTTTTTCTTCTACTCTTTCTTATTGTTTCTCTCTTTCACCTTTTTCTTCCTATTCCTATCGTTCTCCTTCTTCTTCCTTTCCATCAATGTATGCCCATCGCAAAAGAGTACTTTGTACTATTGACTTATCGTTGTTATGCTTTTTCTACTCCTGCTCCTCCTTCATTCTTCTTCTTCCTCTCCTCCTTCTTCCCCTTTTCCTTTCCCAATTCTGTTTTAGTTTCTGTTTCTCGCAATTCACTGATGTTCCTCAAAACTGCTATAAATTTTGGAAAAAATTCCATTTTTTCCCCTAAAAGATACAAAAATTCTCAGTTTGCTTCATGAATGATTAATTTTTCCACATTACCCCTATTAACTAATAAAAATGTTGCAAAATAATTCACTATCTTATTTCCTTTTTTTTGTTTTCATTTGATCGTCTGTCTGTTTTGTGATTCCTGATTGTTTGATTTGGTACAAAACAGATGGACGACCAAACCGAAATAAGACGGTGAACTACATTGCAACATTTTTATTTCTTTGAGAGGACAATGTGGGAAATTAATTATTCGGGAGGCCAAACTGAGCATTTTTGTATCTTTCAGGGGCAAAATGGGATTTATCATAAATTTCGATCTTTCAAGTGGCTTTTTTTTTTTTTCAAGGAAAGAGAGAATTTTATTTATTGAAATCCAAAATTACAAGAAGCAAAAAACAGTAACTGTTTTAACAAACAAAACAGTAAACTATACAAAAATCCAAAAATCTGTTAAAATCCTGTACAGCAACTGTTTTTTGGCCCTTCAGCACAGCTCCTGCCTCGACTGATCAACATGCAGTTCAGCTCTTGCACTATTGCTTAACAAATCTGAAGCTTAAGCTCACTCTGATGCAGCTTAAGTCAGCTCACACTGATGCACATGCTTCTCAGCACCTTCAATCAGCTCACTGATGCAGCTTTAGAAGCTTAAGACCTGATACAATCTGCACTCCTCACAACAGCCCAGTCATCAAGACAGAACCCAAAACAGAAACTGTTTAATAAAAAACAGTAACTGTTATACCAAACAGAAAAATAGTACACTGTTTTTAAAAAAATCTGCTATAGAGCTGCTCCATTTGCTCCTCCTCTCTTCAGCT